TGGGATGCTGCTAAGGAAGCCTGTAGGTTATCTTGCATCTACATGGAATAGCAGGAAAGCACAGTGACTCATACACCCTGCAGCTGCTTGGGTTTGCCCAGTCTGTAGCCAAGGAATGGGGAAAGAGAGCTGACAGTACTGGGAGTGAGGTGATAGAAAAGGGATTGGATGCAGCACAGAGGATGTGTGAGAGGGGGCTGTGACAGTCACACGCTGGGCCGCACTGTACATTTCCTACTGTTCACAGAAAGCTCAGCTGACTGGCTTCCCACAGAACTTGCTTTTCATGTGTGCCACCACTGATGCACTGCAGCGTGTTCAGCCGCTCATGTACTACGTAGAACTCAACCCTGCTTATCAATCCGTGTCAAATTACCAAGGCATCAGTGGTCACACTCCAGCACACCAACCCCTTCCCAGAAACCATGGTAAATCCAGGCCTCTTGTCCTTGAGCCTGGAAAAGCAGCGTATTCAAGCTAAAATTGCTTCTGACAAGGTAATGACCTTGGAGACAGCCTAACTTCAAAAAATACAAGGAAAACAAACAAAACAAAAATTGGGCAAGAACACAGGCTTAGGGAAAAGTTCGTTGTGTGTTCAGGAACAGGATGATATCTAGAGCACTTCTGAAGTTTTATAAATATGTGTCTGGATGTTGAAGTACAGCAGATGGAAAGGGTTCTGCAGACTACAAAGTGAAATTTGGGCTGCTATTCCCAAATTAGGTTGTAGGAGAATTTCCTACAGACCAGGCAGCCCAAAATGTTGGATGGATTTCTTGCCAAATTTCCCTATTCCCACTCATTCCATACCTTACATTTTCTCTCCCAGCAATCAGCAGATGAGAAAGCAAGATCCACAATTCATTACTTTCTCTCAAAAGGCCTGGAGAAATCATTCTTTCCTCTGTTCAGGGTTAACAAACCAACATCATGTTTTCCAGTGCCACTGTGGACTAAAATAATGCCAGCATTATGACTGACGCTGCTTTGCCTACAGTTCCCTGTCGCAACACAATCTGAAAGGATATGACCATTTTTTGTTACCATAAATTGAAAGAGAAAACAAATGCATTGATGTGATGGGGGAAATCCTGGGATGATGTCAAAGCAGAGATGGAAGAGCAAAAAAGGAGATAAGAATTGAAACTTCTATTATGGTATAAAATAAATAAGTTTTCAATTTTCTTCTGACAACCAGACATGAAAGGGATGGAGCCCTGTAGGTCAGGGCCATTCTCTTACTGAGGGACAAGTGCTCACCTCCACATGCTGCCAGTTCATAGGTTCAGAACATTTCGTGCTGAATGAGGTGCATGAGGTGCTGCTGATGGACATTCTGAGGGGCTTCCTTGGTCAGCTGGGGTTTTCTGAACTGCAGGAATCCCTGCCAGATCAGCACTGCAGAACTTGCTGCAACAAGGAAAAGTCTAGAATAAAAGGTCAGTCAGATGTTACAGTGACCTTGCCATTCAGAAATGGAAGGAAAGACTCCAGAAACAGAGACTTGTCCAGCCCGCGCAGCAATTTAGCCCAGGCTTGGTGCAGTCCAGGTGGTGAAGCCTAGTCCTGCCTCCTCTCCCCTCTGTAACACCATATACTACTGGTCATCTCCTTCTCCACCCTTATATCAATAATATGGTGAAATGAAAATACTTATTCTTTCCTTGCATTCTTGTGCTGTTCGCTTTGTGCCTTCCTGCAAAGCACCAGAATAGGTGCATGGATCCTGCACTGAGTATTCCATTTTTCCTCCTCACGGAGGGTTTGTGGAACCCAGCAGGCCTCTGTGATACGGCCAGTATTATCATACACTTCACTACAAATGGTTTTACAGGAAGGACCATCTGGTGATCAGCTGTCCAAAGGCGTATTTGTTGCCTCCTGCACCTGTTCAGTGTGTTGTTCAGCCTCTCCCTGACAGGTGCTCTCCCATCAGAGGTCTTCCTGAGCAAGGGGACGAGAGGACGCAGCACATCTCCCAAAACAGCAGCAGGTACAGACACCTCTTTGAGATTTCTGTTCTTAAGGAGGAATAAATCCCAGCTTATCTTCAAAATGGAAACGACACATAGGACCAGAAGGATAATACCTGGCTCAGAGATCAACCTCGCAGTATTACAAGCAACTGCATCGGTACTCAGGTGAGCCTGCAATGTACCTGCCAGTCAGACCTGTACTACTTTAGGATGAGATTTCTCTGTGCAAACTAAGCCATCCATCTGCATTAAAAACTTAGTTTGGGACTGCCCTGACAGACTGGAGTGTCCTGACTGGACAGACTGGACCACAGCCACATGCTCTGAAAGTAAAGTAACCTTTACCGAGGAGACACTGAAATGAGTTTGGGTTTATGTGAAAAACTTTCAGGGAGACTGGTGCTACTTCTTAGAGGCATCTTTTCGTCTCTCTGCATCCTTGACTTCCCAAAAGAGCTACATTTTAACAGAATAATAAACTTGAACTTGAGATTCAAATGCAACTGGAGAAGTTCCAGTCCATGGAACTTGACTGTTATTAAGATCTTCACATACAAACCCCCCAGATTATCAGAATATTACTTTCAGAGAAAGGAAGGAGAGGGAGAAACACCTGAAATTTTTGATTAATTTTGTGAACTATCCTGTTAATTACTACTCCAGTGGAACTAAGGGTACATATCAAAAAACGGCTTTAAGGATGGCAAAAATTAAAAGTAGAATTAAATGATATGCTATTCAATAATAAAAGAGCTGTAGCTGTCACTATCAAGCCAAAAAAATGACATCACCAAAAGCAGGGAGAACGAAGTAATATGCCCACCAGTCCAAAGAGCTACATATCATTATACTGCAGTTCTGTCTCAAGAAAATCATCTGGAAAAAAATATGTCTGAAGATCATACATACTTGCAAGTAAAAGCCCTGGGGTAAAAAAAATAGGCTAAAAGCAGGATATTCCCTGAGATTAGCAACATTTGCTCATCTCTCTTAGAAGAGATGATGAAATTTTCCCAGCTTTCAAATGGGAATTGGAAACACACCATCCTTTGTTCTTTAACCTCTCACGAGGAAGTCACATACACTAAAGGTTTGCTGAGCAAACATATGATTCTTTTTCCTAGTCTGCCAGTTTTATTTTGATATTGGCTCCCTGTCAGCAGCATATCAGAAGGAGGCTGCTTAGTTGTTAGTTGATGCACTTCACCCTTTCCTTATTAGGGAAAAAAACCCCAACAAATTCGTAGGTTTGAGATACGTCTTATCACCCAGATGTAATTACATTCAGTGTTACCCTCCTGGATATATTATGCTTTAGGTATTTGTTTTGGAGGTGGATAGGCAGAAGGAATTCAAAGTCTTAGCTTCAGCCTTTTTCCTCTCATTTTAAGGTAAGCAAACTCCCTTTTACAACGTGTCGAAGAGCTGGCCCTGGACAATCCCTTCCCTGGAAGCAAGGCTCGGGAAGGGCATAGGCAGCAAAAGCACTGGAGGTGCTGTTGCCTCACTGCAAAGCTCCTCCCTCTGAGAAGGCAGCCAGTAATTCACACCTCGCCTAGGACAGCTGTTCAGTCAGCCTTCAAAGGCAATGGAGAGGATGCACTTCACCCCCCTCCATTCACCATCTGTAAGGACAAATTCATCTTCCCTATTAAGACAAACTACTTCTTAGAGGCATCTCACTCCATTGCAACTAATTACGAAGCAAACACAGATGGTTACATAAGGCACTTAAGTTTGAAACAGTTGATTACAACAGAGTCCTAGGCCTAAGCAATAGTTAATATCTGTCTTCTAGAACTAACCTGACCACTACTTCACATCATAGCTCACCTGATTTTGTCAGAGACTTTAACCTGAGAATTAGAACTGTGTTTTGATGGCCAGGTATATCAGCTTTAATATAAATTAATGTGTTAAGTAAGGACCTTAAAGAGCTTCTTTAGACACTCTCATCCTAAAAATGGCAACATTAAAATATGTGGGTTTTTTACAGGCACAAGACCGTAGCTGACTGAGAGACTTAATGCTTGGAAAATGCATGTCAAAGAACCTGCTGCTGTAAGCTTTAGGTGGCACTTCTGATGTTGAAGGAAAAAAAATAAATGAATTCTCACAGAAAAAAACCTGCAGAGCGGTGCTAAATATTTCTGAAGAAAATATGTATGTTCAAAGGAATTCATCAGCTTGGTTTCCAAAGGATGGGAGGCCAATTTCTGCACTGCCTCAGCACTTTAGAAGTCAGTAACTCCAACCTGTTCTGAAAAGGTGTCCAGGAGTGTAGAGCTCTCAAGGTACTCTTAAGTTCTTGCAAGCTCTGTGGAAATCAGTGGTTGGGAAAGAGGTCCAAATAATTCCTCTCAGAGAGAAAAGATGTGCAGAAAGATGCCCTTCTCTTGGCTGGTGGAGACAATGTCAATCAACAGGGGAATATGGAGAAAGATGTTTGATCTGCAGAAGGCACAAGACATTGAGAGGGAACAGCACTTCATTAGTTCCACTTCTTACAGCATTCATTTTAAATAGATCTTTTCTCAGAATCTGCCATTTTGTAACTATGACTCGATTTCCACCGTGCCACCCTTTCTGCAACAAAAGTCCTCGGTAAGATTATACATGACTGCCTCCCCGACCACCAGTTACTGAGATTAAGAGGGAGCACAGCCATACCCACATTAGGACGTAGCCAACACAAAACACCAGCTAAGAAAAGGTATTTTATATTGCATGTTACAAAAGCATGAAAGCAACCACAAGTGTGTATGGTTTTAATCACCATGGGCACACAGAAACACAAATCATTTCCTTACGCTTTAATATGCTTGATGCCATGTTACTGACAGATGAACAATTACAAAAACCATGGAACACCCAAATCGTATTCTCTTACAAAATGAAGTGCTCTTATAAATGAATTTGCTCTTTTCCTGACATTTCAGAAGAACATGGTGTGCTGCTTTTTCAATAACAATACCAAAATAAGGGCCATAAAAAGGCAAGTAATGTAACTGTCACTACAGCTTGCTGGAATTTTTGATCATTTATTGCAGTCAACTGGAAAAGTAGTAAAGTTTTATTAACAGCATTCTACAGTGCTACCTACAGACATGTGTTACCATCAAGGGTAAATGGATCTTGCATTTTAACTTAGTAAAATCAGCACCGAAATACAAACTTTCCAAACAAGGTAATATATAGCAAGTATTTTCTTTAACTGTTCGGTGTAACTTCATGTATTTTGTAATAGAGTCATTACAGAGCAGTTTCTTCAAACAATAAAGGTTTCATAATTTTAAAAATGTACAAAGTGTATCTATGCAAAGCAGCAGCAACAAGTTTAAAAGACAATCCACTGCAGAAACACAACATACAGGTTTTTAGTAAAGAAAACCAAACAGAACAGCAAGCATCCTCCAGTATTGCAAGAATTTGCTTACATAGGCAGAACAATTTTCCTTTGTCTCCCAGAAAGTTAACAGAAAATGGATACAACTCCTGCTGCTTTTCACTGTTTATACTAACAGAAAGAACTATAAAAATAGATTCAATCTGTATTTATGATAAAAACATACCTGTGACTGATCGGACGGCTAATGCCACAAGCCATTGCCTCACCCTAATGCTGTATCTCAGTGAATCGCTAACAGTAATCATCTGGGAAGAGTATTGTAAAAGTGCTGAAATGCTGCTTTCCTAACTGCAGGCACTGCAAGAAAACAAAACAGAAATGATAACTTGCACCCTATGATAACATTATATCAGTTGTTACATTCAAACCATGACTGGTTTTGACAGGTACCACAAGTGATTTTGCAGCACCACAACATTTTGAGTTTAATTATTACTGGAGCCCAGGGTTCCTCTTTTTGTGGTCTGGTTGCCAGACCACACAACAGGGCCCTTAGCATTCACTCTATGGCTCTTACATGCTATTTTGCCCAAATGTTCAGTTTCTTATCTCTTATTGACACATTCTGCAAACAAAGACTGAAGTGATATCCTCTATTTCCCAAGCACCAATTCCTTGATAGCTATTTACAATATGGGTTAACAAGAGTCTTTTTATTTTAGGAAAAATTCCTTCAACGGAAGGGCTGTCAAGCACTGGAACAGGCTGCCCAGGGAAGTGCTTGAGCCACCATCCCTGGAGGTATTTCAGAGATGTGCAGATGTGGCACTCAGGAACATGGTTTAGTGGTGGACTTGGCACTGCCAGGTTATCGGTTGGACCTGATGATCCTAGAGGTCTTTTCCAACATAAATGATTCTGTGATTCTACAAAAGAAAGAAAAATGCCTGACTTTATGAGGCACTCTGTCTTGTTGGTACAGACACTGCTCTCGGAATTATCTTCCAAATCCAGGTGTTCCATGGATGGTGGCAGTATCTAATATCTTTACTTTCATGAAAGAAGACAAGCAGGGGTCTGGACAGCACTCAGGCCAGCCCTTACTAACAAAGCTGAGGGAGACTGAAGATAACCAACTGAAACATAAAGAAAAGGACAGAAAAGTGAGACCAGTTCCTTGTATGCTCAATCAAAAAGATGTAATTCTGCATCCAGGGAGGAGTGCAGCTGGTCTATGCTGAACGAAGCAACTGATCTGAAAATCAGGAATGCCAAGAAGTAGAACTATGTAAACGTTCATGGAATGTGTGCTGGGAAGGGTAAAACCTGGTATGAGAAGATAATGAAGTCATGCAACAATCCATGGAGAAGAAGATTTAGAATTCAAAAATAAAATACCTTCAGTAGTGTTACTGCCCATTTGCAAATTAAGATGTTAAGCCTCTTAATAATGATGCAGAAAAGGCAGAAGCTTCCAGTTAAAATTTCTACTCCCCAGTTAAAAAGGTGGTGTATTGTGTGAGGAATTCTTTTCCAACCCAACAGCAACTGAAAAGGCAAAGGATTACTAGAAATAACTATGTTAATAAACAGCATATATTTAGTTTAATGATAGTTGACCCAGGATATCTTTAGGTAACTGGAAATGCCAATAGGTTTTGGGAAGATCTAACTCTCACACTACAGAAGGGAAACTAAAATGAATTAGATATAAATACAGACCAATTTTCCAATATCCAAACCATGCTGCAGAATTTAAAGATTAAAGGTTCAAAATGTAATTACCACTAAATAACATACTTAATGAGAAACAGCTTTAGTTAATCTCATTTTGCTCCTCAGAGAGGTATTTGGTAGGTAAACCTGTAACTGAACAATTTCAGTACTTCTGTAGGATGTCATCACAGTGAGACAAACATCTGGACTCATACTTAGTGCAATCCTATGTTCGTAACATGCACACCAGGTACACAAACCAGCAAATTTAAACAAGGAGCTCCCCCACTGGCTGCCAGTCGAGTGAGTTTTAGGGAGGCTGCAGAGATTTGTGATAGGACCGACACGCTTTAATGCTCTAATAAAACCGTGCAAACACAAAGCTAAGCAAAGCCCACACAGAGCCAGAGTAATGCAAAACCCACACCATTCTCTGCTTCTGTGACTAGAGAAGATCCATTTGTTTAGGCTATCAAAAAGAACTTGCACAGAAATAGAGCACGTGTTCACACATTTCAGTAATGACAGCTTATTCTGATTAATAAGTACCCACATAAGTGGTAGATTTGCACTCTACTACAGCATTTATAACTGGGCAAATTCTTGAACGAAGAACTGAGCTCAGTCTGACTGAAAGATATTTAGTGTCATGCTAGATAACTTAAAGACCTGCAATATTAGATTAGTCCCCTTTGACCATAAGGTGTCAGAAAGTCATGCTGTATTTTCCCCAAGCAGCCTGTTTGCAAAGTGGGCATCTCCACTTACAAAGGAAAAGATAACGCAAATGGCATGGAAGTAGCCAGGTTATAAAGAACACCACCATCTATGATGCTGCTGCTGCTTTTGAGAACACACGCAGGATCACTCTTGAGGAGAAAAGACAACGCAGAAAGAATCGCGTCTCGTAGATATCACCTGGGGAGTCTTTCTGCTGTGCCTTCTGCAACTGGACTTGTCTATCTCGCATTGGCCTTTTCAGCCATCAGCACTCTTGTAGCAAGCGTGGGTAGAACCCTTCTCAAGTCTTCGTTCACGAAGCCCAGCCATGATGATGATAAAGAACAGTGTTGTAGAACTGCACATAGAGCACCCCTGTACTACTTGCCATCATGAGCTGATCTCTGGGAATCAAGCCTCCATTTCCACTGTGCTGTTTACAGTCCTCAGTCTGAGACAAGACCATCCTTGCTCAACACACAGGAAAAAATGCCCAATGCGCTGTGATAGGGACAGAGGGGATGGTTCTTGAGTAAAGGGGCTGTTACCAGTGAACCACTGTGTGCAACCAGGGACCTACTGATCTCCTCAGAGCTGCCTCTCTTTTGATGAATGGTGTCCAGGTTCATGAACTGCAAAGCTCTTTCAACACTTTTACAACACTACATAAATGTTTACATTCATACAGAAGTCCAAGCCCTTATACACCCCAGTAATCTCCTGAATACCAATTTCACATCACTATATCTGCATTTATACTTGCACACTGTAAGCAGTGTTAAAGATCAGGTAGACATTGAGAAGCAACAGCTCCACAATCTGAGTTGCAGCACTGTGTTTATTTACATTATATCACTCAAAAAATTCACCACAAGCATGACAGAAACAAGAAGCTTCACAACAAATCCAGGTGAGATTTTTTTTCTGTACATTATATTTTCCAACAACTAGAAATATTTTATTAGCAATATGGACACATTTAAATATTAAAAATCTATACAGCGTCCTTTTCTCTCCCAGTCTCCGAAACGTGTAGGTTCAGGGCCTCTAGGTCCACCCCTCTCTTTTGTAGTAGGATTGATTCCATCAGGAAATTCTAAAATAACAGGGAAAGTTCATTAAAATTCCTACAACGCTGACAAATATAAAGATGTCACCATTTATGATGTCTGCCTCTTAGTTTCATTTTCAAATACAAAATCAATTCTCTTTCATTTTTAAAGGCAACTTTGAGTTAAGCATTTTGCAGTCCTACAAAACTAATTTCATTTTTTTGGACTACAATCAGCAATATGTATGATCATATTCAGTTATGGTAATAAAAAAAGCAACTCAATATCGAGAGGCATTAAAGCAACACAATTTCTCATGAATTCGCAGTCAGAACTTGTATCATTCAGGCATACTGTACACAGGTTCACTAAATCTAAAACCTCAGGTCACTTTCTGTTTGTTTAGGTCTCTAATTTTAAACATTCTGTTTCAAATTTCACTTGAATTTTAGTCAAGATTCTATTATTCTTGTATTTAAACCTGTTTTTCCTGGATGCTGGTATGTTTTTCAAAAAATGGCACGTTGATATTCATCAACATCAGGCTAGAAATTGGACCTTTTTTACCTTCTAAAACTTAACTTAAGCTCACTAAGTCACTGTGATGCCCTCTCAGGAGAGAGACGCTCTTTGTAAGTGGGGTACAAAGGGACTTTCATCTCTCTCTGGTAAGCAATGTGCTAAGTTTACACATGAGCAGTGCTTCTTCTATTCATAGAATGGGTTGGAAAGGGACATGTAAGATCATCTAGTTCCAACTCCCCTGCCATGGACAGGGATGCCACCCACTAAGTCAGGTTGCTCAGAGCCCTATCCAGCCTGGTCTTTAACACTTCCAAGGATAGGTCATCCACAAGTTCTCTGGGCAACCTGTTGTGCTTCACCACCCTCTGAGTAATGAATTTCTTCCTAACCTGTAATCTAAACTTGCCCTCTCTCAGTTTAGAATCCCTTATCCTGTCACTATCTACTTGTATGAAGAGTCCCTCTCCCTCTGTTTTATAAGCCCCCTTAAGGTACTGGAAGGCCACAATGAGGTCTCCCAGAAAGCCTTCACTTCTCCATGCTGAACAACCCCAACTCTCTCAGGCTGTCTTCACAGAAGAGGTGCTCCAGCCCTCTGATCATCTTTGTGTCCCTCCTCTGGACCTGCACAATCAGGTCCATGTCTTTCTTCTGCTGAGGACCTCAGAGCTGTACACAGTACTCCAGGTGGGGTCTCAAAAGGGCAGAGTAGAGGAGGAGAACCACCTCCTTCAACCTGCTGGCCACACTGCTTCTGATGGAGTGTCTGATGTCCAGCTTTTCATCCATGAAAACCCCCTATCCTGCTACAAAAAGCACTCTGCCAGCTTACGCCACTTTCTCAACCCCCATAGAGCTTTCCGCACATCGGTCAGTGTGCTTACACTGCTCAGTGCTCCCTTACTCAGGGCTGTCTCTTAAGAGTAGTTAACTCAGGCCACCAAACCATGAAGTACTTGTGGCACAGCACCATCCTAGGCTCTTTTCTCATCCTGCACTAGACTGCAGGCCTCCATGAAGCTCACTATACTCCACATGCCCCTTGTCATACTGATTTTCCAAAGCCTCCCACATATACATGTAGCTTGGGGCTCCCTCAGTCATATCCCTAACCCAGCCCCAGTGGACAACACAAGTAATGAGAAACAGGGTGGAAAATCAGAAAAGACAACAACAGAAATCCTGAATAGCAGAGAAAAAGAACAGTGATGGAGGAAGACTCATGGAGCTAGAGGCTATACAGGATGACATACTGGGATGCCTGTTTAAAAATTGATGCACATCAGGATAGGAAATGTCAGTATTGGAGCACCTCTAGCAGTACAAGGAGCACAAACGCATGTAATATTATTTTGTAGATGTCATCATCCCAATTCCCAAGTACTACTGATGTGCTGACAGTGGATGCAGATACTCAAAAGATTTCTCCATGGGAGCTACATAGCAGTGGGAATTCCAACAGGCAGCTTAAACTCTTAGTCTTTTCCTAATAACACAATAGGCAATCTGCAAATTACTGCTTGTGTTATATGTAAAAAATACACAGGTACAACTCAATTTAAAGGAAAAAGAGACTTTGAGTCTTGCTCTAAACCTAGAACACCTAAGCAAAAAGCAAAAGATATTGATTACGCATTTGTTTTAAATGAAGCAGTGATGGTATTTATTTCCTTGGGAAAAAAAGACAAGAATTAAATAGCTGCTTACACAGTAACTCCAACTCTGAATCAGTTCTCAAGTGAGTCACAATCTGAAACTGAGTGCAACCCTTTTGGAGATGATTCCATAATACAATAATGATGATACTGTAATACAATAATACAACTACAAACTTGCAGAGAAATTTGTGAAACAAGAAGCTTTTCACCATGATGCAGCTTCCCCAACTGCTGTGGAGGCCTCAGGAATCTGCGAAATACACCCTTGAATCAGAGATCTTTTTTTAGTACACTTGAACAAAACCTGCTCCTATTCTGTGCCATTTTACCCTGCATGGAAAAAGGGTACTTCTGTGGAAGGGTATCTGAGGATTTTGGATATGAAATTAAGGATTTGAAGGTGGAAAAATAAGAACAGTTTCTTAAAGGAATGTCAGGAATGATTCAACTTTATGCTGCTATCATTCAGCTCTGCTGGCCTTATGGAAACAAACAAGGGGCACATCCTCAGGGACTGAACTGTGGATGGCACTGGCTCACTCAGATATTGAATACAGAGTCCCTGACAGATATGACAGCTACACTGCTTTTTAATTTTCTGGAAGTGTGTGGCAATGCTCTCGTGAAACAGTAGCACACTCAGTTCTGGAAAATGATGTTATTTATCCAAGCAGACTACATCCCAAGAATTGAAGCAATTACCAGCTCTGTACAGAAGGGTCCTTTAACGTGTTTGAAGTATTTACCAAAGGAATGTCTACAGCAGAAGGAAATTCTGCTTCCAACAGGCACTCTGCTGCCTTCCTTTTGGAGATTATGAATCAGTCTGTATTTCTTTTCCCCAGGATGTCAGTGCTTTCAGACCTGGCTTTCTGTTTACATGTAAAGGCACAAAATACAGTGAATATAGAAGAATGAGAAGATATCGCATCAACCTGTTAATGTCTAACTCATGAAGACTTATGTTGGGCAGAAGAAACTTGTGTTTAATTTGTTGCAAATAGTTGCAAGTTATTCTTTGAATTGTATCTTTTTAAGTCCACACATAAGAATTTTTTTTTTTTTTTTTTTAAATAAAAATAGTGAAAAACAAACCCCACACTGAGTACTGTGTCCAGCTCTGGGGCCTCCAACACAAGGAAGATGTGGACCTGTTGGAATCAGTCCAGAGAAGGCTACTAAGATGACCAGAGGGCTGGAACACCTCTCCTATGCAGACAGGCTGAGAGAGCTGGGGCTGTTCAGCCTGGGGAAGAGGCAGCTTTGGGGAGACCTTATTGCAGCCTTTCAGTATCTATAGGGGGCCTATAAAAAACAGCTGGAGAGTGACTTTTTACAAGGACAGGTAGTGAGAGGACAGGGGGGATTGGCTTTAAACTGAAAGAGGGCAGGTTTAGATATTATGTAGAATTTTTTTACTGTGAGGGTGGTGAGGCACTGGAACTGGTTGTGCAGAGAGGCTGGGGATGCTCCATCTCTGGAAGTGTTCAAGGCCCAGTTGATTGGGGCTCTGAGCAATCTGGTCTAATGAAAGGTGTCCCTGCCCACAGCAAGGGGTTGGAACTTCATGATCTTCCAACCCAAACCATTCCGGGATTCTTCAGTCATTTTGTCATCTGGATACTGATATATTAAAAAGCTTGTTCTAGAGACCTCAAAATAGATAAACATGGGTCATCACTACTGCTGAAGAAATGCAGCATGAATCAAAAATATTTTGAGAACTAAGAAATAGAATAGGCTTTTGGAATAATAAAAAGTAGCCAGTGCCCTCGTGAGTTTACTGCCACCACTTACAGCTATACAGTACTATTACAGACCAATAGCAGCTATATTTCTCAGAATCATGCAATGGTTTATGGTGGAAGGCATCTTTTGCAGGAACCTGGCCCCAACCCTGCTGAAGGCAGGGCTGCTATTAGGTCAGGACAGCCAGGCAAATTTGAATATCTCCAAGAGAAGAGGAATCACAGGTTCTCTGGGTGACTTGTTGCAATGTTTGACCACTTTTGCTCTGAAGACTTTTTCTCTTATACTCCATTTGCTGCAACTCATTACTCTCTCCCATTGTCCTGCCTGTTTTTTTTTGGAACCATTAAGCTTAAAAAGTATTTCTGAGGAGTGCTGAATGCCAGCCATCCTCTTCAACTGACATCAGCACAGCACCTCACGGTCTTGCCTCTAAAACACAGCTTTCAGTTTTGTAAAACATGACTTACTTTCCAGGGGTTCCCTCTCTATACTGGACTCTTCTGGTTCATCAAATCGGCCCACTGGTAACTTTGGTTTCTTAAGTGGCTGCTTAGTGGCTTCAGATCTTCCTTCTGCCTTAGAGCTGGAGCTGCTCCGCAAGTTGCACAGAAGTGATGACTCTATCGAGCAAATGGAACACGTATCATGAATGTGAGAGTTTAACATCGAGTAACTCTAGGACTGTTCAAAGCACCTCTGAAAAAACTCTACTTCAGAAACTAGGGAGCAGAGGAGAGGACAACAAGCCCTAAAATTTATTTAACATTTAACTCATGAACACCTAAGAAATCACCACAGATAATTATTTTTGGCCCTAGAAACATATGTAGGCAAAACTGTGTTAGTTGTGTAACTCAGTTCCATAAACAGTGTATTTTAAATTGCTTGAACTTACCTTTGCTGTTATCTTCTTGTATTTTAGACTCTAAATAGTAATTATGCTACCACAGACCAGTACATTCTGCTTTCTGGGAAAAGGCTTAACCTCCCCCAAGAAACCTGCTGATTTCCAGGTCTTGGCTCATTTCCAGCAGCTTTTTAGTCAGAAAAGGTTTCTGCTTTCTCAAAGGAAAGTAAAATAAACGTTGTTCCCTTAGTAACAGGTTTTCCAGAATGTCAGCAGAGGATAGCTGGGCTTCCCTTAGGATGGTAAAATAATTCAGCTGGTAGTCAAAAGCAGGACAAACTTTGAGCACATAAAAGTTCAATTATATAACTGCATGCAAATGCTTTAATTAGAAGCATAAACTTTTTCCTTTAAAGTTCTACTAACATTTTGGTTAAAAAGCCAAGTGTCCACAGTGAGCATAAACTATCCTCTAAAAATATTTTGGCTATGGACAGGAGCCTAAAGCAACTCTGACTTAAGAAGGAACATTCAAACAGAAATCCTCCCTGTACCAGCAGGGTGCAAAGTGCCTGAAAGAAATATTATTCTATCTTGCTGAGGAGATTTAATCAGGAAACCTTCTCAAGCAGCATGAATTTGACTCACCTAAATATACACCAACCAACAACCCACCTGTATTCCCAGAATCAGCATATTCATTCACTCATTTTAAAATACCACAGCTTTAACATTAGACCCTAGAGCCACATAAACTGTATTACGTCTACCAACTGCTGCCAATGCCCCAAAGGAGTATTTTTTAGTTTAAGAATGACATAAACTATCAACAGCAAAGTATCTGATCTGTTGCAAACACTGGATCTTTCTACTCCTGTCATTCTTCAGCAAGCTAAAAAAGAAGACAGCTAGAAAATTAAATTATAGCTGGTATTCTAGTCCAAATTCAAACAAAATTCAGATTAAGGTACTGGTATGAAATCAATTAGTCACCAGAGAAGACGCAAAATCCATTCTCCTATTTGCAATACTTGATATTCTTGACCAAAATACATTCTTCTTGACAGAGAAACAACAAATGTTCAACATTCAATACCTCTGAAAAAGATGAGATGAACTATCATCAGTTGATACCACATTCTACAAAGTGATCTTTGATTCCCTCATCCCCTGCAGGCTGTCACAAAGCCCTCCCATTTATTAAGTACATATATGAGTTACACAATGATATAGCTGAATTTGAAAATTCCAAGTCTCTAACGGTGCTGCACTGCCAGCGTCTGCAATATCCTATCTTTTGAAGTGGCCTACAGATCATGATTTATCGTAACAAAGCCATGCATGCAGCGGAAGCTGGGCCCACACTGGGATGCTCAGATCAGCCGAATCTTGCCATGAACCTGACAGAGCACAAATACTTAATAACATTTTTTTCCAGCTCTTCCATTAACACATATTGTAGTGATTTGTTTCAGGAGTATTTTATCAACAGCATCAGAGAACCTCAGGTTTTGCTGGAGAGGGAAATAGCCCAACCCGCAGCTCAGGCCTGTGGGACTGGCTCTGTTATCCAGGCTGCCTTATTTCTCTATAAACAAACCACATGAACCTCCTCAGGTGAAGGGTATGAACCAATAACTTTCAAGGCCACAGTTAAGTTCCCTCCAGCTATTCTACAAACATTAACCCACTGTCTAACATTTCACTGCCGTTAAAAAGTTCGCAGCAACGACAGGGCAAGAAAACCTGCGTAATAACAGATACGCCCGATAGCAGGCTTGCGATAGAGGGGAGAGTAATAATTAATTCATATCCGTGGGGTGGGGCAGGAGGACAGCAGAACAGCTGTAGGGAAACGGAGGATGCGGGGAAAGCTGTGGGACCTCACAGAGACCCTCCGAGACCTCCCGGGCTGACGAGGCGGGGGTGTCACAGCCCGCGCCCGCCGCCATCTTGGGCGCCCTCCAGCCCCCCCAGCGCCGGCAGCTCCGGGCGGTGCCCGCCCTGTCCCCCTCGCCCGTCCCTCCCTGCGGGAGGAAGGGCTGAGGAAACCGAGGAGCCCCTTCGCGGCACGGCCGGGCCCCTCCCGCCCTCCGCCCATCTCTTACTCGCTGCGCCGGGCGCTCCGCGCAGCAGCCGCAGAGCCATGGCCGGGCCGGGAGCGGGGCGGGCGGCCGAGGCCGCGCAGGCGCCGAGGGCGGCGGCTCCGGGCGGGGAGCGGCTCCTGTGAGGGCGGCGGCTCCGGGCGGGGAGCGGCTCCCGTGAGGGCGGAGGGTCCGGGCAGCGGAGCCGCTCCCGCCTCGCTACCCACCGCGCTCCCGGGCTGCGGTGAACGGAGTGGAACGGCGCCTCGGGAGGCACGGACCCGAAGGCAGCTCCGGACTCATGGGGGTGCTCAGGAAATCAGCTGTAACTCCTCTCTCCCCACCCTTCCCCGCAAACCTTTGGCAGTTTATCTCTCCTTTGCTATTAAAGAGTTTTAGCGCTAAAAGGACCCACTTCCCCCCTTCGCCCCCAACTCCCATGTGTAGTACAATCCTGCTAGTTTTGGTTTTAATAATAAAAACACATTGCTGAAACAGGCAGTCTAGGACGTGAAGGAACTTTGGCTGATGCCACAGTGATGTATGGACCAAGTGTTCATCCTTACAAATTAAAGGCCACATAACTTCAAGGTTACAAAACATACTTTAATATTAAATGCTTTATTAACAAATAAACTTCATCTCCCTCTGTCCATTATGCCAGCTCGATGCATTTTCTGCACTCAACCAGGCATTATTCACCCTTCCAGCATGAAAGCAGTAAGAAAGTTCTGGGCCCCTCAGTTCAGGAAGGATATTGAGAGGCTGGAGCAGGTCCAGAGCAGAGCAACCAAACTGGTGAAAGGACTTGAACACAAGTCCTGTGAGGAGAGGCTGAGGGAGCTGGGGTTGTTTAGCCTGGAGAAGAGGAGGCTCAGGGGAGACGTCATCACTCTTACAACTCCCTGAGAGGAGGTTGTAGCCAGGTGGGGGTTGGTCTCTTTTCCCAGGTAGCTATCAGTAAGACAAGAGGGCATGGTCTCAAGCTCTGCCAGGGGAGGTTTAGGTTAGATGTTAGGAAGAAATTCTTTACAGAGAGGGTAATCAGGCATTGGAATGGGCTGCCCAGGGAGGTGGTGGATTCTCTGTCCCTGTAGGTTAAGAAGAGACTGGATGTGGCACTTAGTGCCATGGTCTAGTAACTGTAGTGGTAGTGGATCGAGGGTTGGACTTGATCTCAGAGGTCCTTTCCAACCCATCTGATTCTGTGATTCCAGCAACCCTGGCTGCTGGACCAGGGGACTTCGGATGGCAGTTTTTCAGTTTTCCAGTTTAACGCGTGAAGGTGCTTTTAACACTCTCTCTCAGTGTAACCCTAACCCTGGGATAAGTAACACCTGTGCTCATGGAGTGGAGCTCCAGTTAATTAGCCACAGTTAATGATTTGAATATGGCAACATTTGATTTTTGTCACTGTTCAAACTTCTCCAGCTAACCTTGTTCTTCCATTAAACAGAATTTGAAGCTCTCTGTGCACAGGTACTAAACTGCAGAAAATAACTTGGAGAGCTGAGTCTAAAATAGTATTTTGTGTTCACATCTGAAGAGTTTAAGAAAGTAAATCTTGATAATTTAAGAACAGCAATGCTCCCTTGAGTTTACTGCTCTACATCTGGCAAAGGCTGCACACTGGAAGTGATTAAATATAACTGACTGCTTTACAAGTGACATTTTCTCAATCAGCTTTTTATAACATGATTAATTAGACATTACAGACTGAAAATAATGAGAAATCCTTTTCTTTATTCTAACAGCAAGATGCTGGGCCTCTAGATGAGAGAGAATAAACATGAACGCAGAAAAAAATACTCTTCTGGCCAAAAGGAACAAGAAAAAAAACCCCAACAGATCTCTTTGAAGTTCAAGAACTTATCATTTAGGGTGTTCAATACAGAAAAAAAGAAATTAAATCCTTCCTTTAAAAAAGACTCTCATACCAGGCTGTCTGCAGATACCAAGTAATATTAAGCTCTGCTCCTCAACAGCTTAACACAATCCATGGAAAGTCATACATACATGCATCTATTGTATGCACATGCATACATACATGTGCAATTTCAAATGGTAAGGATGGAATAGCAATGAAGGATTAATGAGGTACTGTTTATCCACCCAAAAATAAGTTGAGGTCTACAAAACATTTTTTTTCCTAGTCTTCATATATTGTATTGCTGTAAAAATGCAAAATTCACTTTTGACTCTTGAATTATGCATTTCTAGATCCTGTGACTGAGGAGGTAATAAATCTGAACACTTGAAAAAACAAACACAGCATACACCACAGGAATATTCTACTTTGTGATTAAGTTCAATTTTTTTTTTTGTTTTCCTTCCTCTGTTTACTGATCATTTATCTGTTGCACTGCAGCTTGCCTCTCGAGGACGACACAAACAGTGCTGTATTTTGCTTTGGTTTTCTAAAAAGCGGGAAGTAAAAGACTTATAGGTAGTACAAGCCCTGCAGCAGGTCAATTCAGATGAGCCAAATGTAATGGCCACAGGGCTATCTGGAATGCACCACAACCAGCAGTGCCCCAGGCAGCAAGTGTTCTGATACTGCCTATATGCCTATTCTTCCTCTCAGACCCCTTCAAGAAGCTTGGTTATCTGAACACCACACCTGGGCAGGGCTGGGCAAATAAAACTGGCTTGGAATCAAGGGCTTCTGTGGGTACAGGGTAAGTTTTCTGTGAATGTGAAATCTCCTGGGCCTGCTGTGAAGCCTGGTGATTTTCCATGTAACATGAGCTCTTTTTCCGAAGTAGTAGCAATTGCTCGATCTACAGGACCAGAAAGATTAATTTTGATGAAGATTCAGACACAAACCAAGGAATTAATTTATATACACTACATGCAAACTGAAGTTCAGACACTACCTAATTTTATGTAGTGACCTACTAATAATACCCCAGAGAGCTTTGTGAAATAACAGTGGCAGCCTACTGCCTTCATGGAACAAGAGAGTGGCAGTTTTCTAAAGGAATGTCAACCTCAATTCTTACCTCTCATTCTGTAAGCAGAATAATTCTTCAAGCAGCTGTAGGATACCTGCATAAAGGTGAGGTCACTATCACTATAGGAAGATGAAGCCCTGATTCAAAGGGAAGAGTGATGAGATGGAGCACTTTATAGCTGCTACTGCATCAGATGACACAATTATGTATATATGAGTCTCTATTTCTGTCAAGGAAAGAGAAGGCAGAAATATGCAGAAGTAGGGGGAACATGCCACAGAACACATGCAGAGTTGCCCAAAACATCCAAGGCTGAATGTGTTGCTCAGAGACCAAGTGTACCTTAGAGTCTGTAAGTGCAAATATGAACTTCATATGCTTCGCAGACATGCTGGGCTACCAGACCACATAGGGACTGCACTGTGCAATACAAGTGAGGGGAGACAAAATGAATTTAATGTTGTCTTAATTTGCCCCGTTCCTTGATAAACTTATATGCAAATATCATATGATTTCCTGCACTGTCTGTTCTCCTCAAAGAACAAACCTAGTTCAAGCTTTCTTAAGTGGATGGGATCTACTATTAAAAAAAAAAAAAAAAAAAGACTTTCTGCCAGGATATTTCTGCTTTGCTGATCACAAAAGCATGCTTTATATTTTCAGATTTCCAGAGACAGAAAGGTAGACAGACATTTTTCAACAGTGACAGAACCATCTAAATACTTGTGTACTAAGAGCAGTTTAACACCCTCGTTGTAAATCAAGGAATATTTTGTAGCTTTAGCGCCCTTAAATGGATATTCAAAGTTTAGCCACTAGACAACTACTATAATGCTCTTAAAAAAAAGACAGTTGAGATACCAGAACATAATTTAAACATTTAGAACTAGTAGTACCATTATAATACAAAATTATTAATAAAAATAGACATTTTTAAAGTGAGAATGTATTTAAGACATGTTTGTGTCAGAAGGACTTGCCTAACACAACTCTATTAAAATACTCTTTACAGTGTGCACATTGCTGAACTGTAGGTACTCATTTGAGCATCCTGTATGCTACAGGCAAAAAACCCCTCCTTATATTACAAAGACTATTATACAATAAACCATATCAAATGCAAAATCACTTCATTATAAACTATTATTGCTATATTAATTTCAAAAGTACAAAATTATTAATTATATACAAAAAAGCCTCCCCAGAATTTTGGTAATTAGCATAACATTTCAGTTTCTTTAATTGCTTCCATTAGAGTCATTTGTTCATTTTATTAACACCAGATGCAATAACACAATGCTAAAAATAAACATGCATTATACAACAAATTTATATTTTTCAAAAAATGTTCATTACAATTAGTGTACAATTAGTGAATGCACATGTAACTCTTTTTCCCCAACCTGTAGTGAATTATTGTCTGAAACAGAGAAAAGGGAAGGAAGGAGAAACCAAACAATGCTATTCAGCACCAGTAGAAAGTCAATAGACCTTTAACATTCCTGTATATCAAAAAACATTTTATCTGTGTCACCAGACAGGTAAAGTTTACAATATTGTCCCATTTGAGGATGTACTGATTTATATTTACAATACTTTGTAGTCAATAAAATGTTTTAACAATATTTAAAAATTGCTTAAATTCATAAAAGTATTGCAGAAACTTAAAATGTTTACTTATTTTAATTACATACAAGGAAGTCCATGTAAAACTGTCCATGTTCATCTGGAGAACCGATAGAGTAGGGAGCCATTTTAATAGTTTGCAAAACCTCAATTATTTGAAGGCAGCTATCACTGAACATTCAAAAATCCTTAGTTGCCATTTGCTTCTGAAAACGAAAGTTCCAGTAATAAAACTCGTGTATGTAAACTAACATGTTTTTGAGATCAGTAGAAAATGTATTCTCACAGGCATAATATATTTAACAATGACGATAATGATTTTGTAGAAAACTGTTAAGCTGTAGTGAGACCCGCAGTATTGTCATTTTCAAATATCCAGTATTTTAGCAGCTCATTGTGTTTCCAGTTAAATTTCCTACAGTGCTAAAATACGACAACTGAACACATAAGACCTTATTAGAATTTTAAAATCCAATTTATTTTTGGCATCTAAAGCCTCTTGTAAAATGTAGCCAAGTAACATTGAATTCTGTAGTCTGAGAGCCA